GATAATTGACGGAGGCCAGGTTTGATAAAATATGAGCGGGTCCGAATTTGTGACCGGGGCTGCATAAAAATTTATACATCCTAAAGCATATTTTTTATTCAAAATTCATGTTATATTTTAGATATATTGCATATATAAACATCATTATGATCAACATGATGATGATCATGATCATGATCACCATCATCATCATCATCATCATCATCATCATCATCATCATCATCATCATCATCATCATCATCATCATCATCATCATCATCATCACCATCATAACCATGTAGATCTACGTTCGGAATCGCATCCCGTGATTCGGCTCGCGAGTGTTTCATATGATTATTTTTTCTCATTCTCATATGATTATTTTTTTTAAACTTTAAAATTTTTTATAATGTAAATTAAGTCAATAAAAATTGAAATGCCACTAAATTACTTTTTTAATGATATCGAGCAATTTCGTTGTGTTTTTTGCGTTTTTACAGTTACATTAAGGTCATCCAAAAGCTTAATAATATGGGAGCCGTATACAGTTATTAGTCTTTTTCGTAATTTCTGATATATTTATTAAGTTATTGTTTTCCCGGATATCCAAAACTATTTTAATACGTACCGTAGCGTGGGGTAATTGAGAACTTTCTGGGGTAATTGAGTACCCGTAAACATTTTAATTTTAAAATTCATATAAAATAGATAATATCAATGCTTAGATCATTTTCAAAATATAAATATTTAAATTAACTTTTTTAAATTGTATGTTGCTAATTACAACTGTTTTGGTCAAAAATAAATAGCTGATAACATTTTAAATATATCACGATGCAGAATCCCAAAATTCCGTAAAAACTAATAACTGGAAATACTAAGGGTAAACAGTTATAGTTAAAACCTTCTTAGAGTTTTGAAATTTTTGTAGTATACTATACATATGTTGAGGTAAATTCGTATAAATTTTAAAGTCTTATAAATAAATTGTTAATAAAATAATGTTGTTTAAAGTAATGTGGGGTAATTGAGCACTTTTATTTGGGGTAAATGAGCACCTTTTCAAGTAGCTGTTTTTTACCCTTTAAATACTATTGTTAAAGAAATAAATATCTAAAGGTGCAAATAATTTAAATTTTTAGCATATATGTTTTCCTTTTACATATTAGATATCTGATAAAATGGTGAGAAACTACGTAAAATCAAAACAAAATTTTTCAAAACCTACACAGATTATGAACTTAAAACAGCAGTAGAACTTGTTAATGATGGAGAACCTTGTAAACGTGTTACAAGGCTATTGAACATACCACACAGAACTCTAAGATGTCATGTTAGTGGTTTAAGAAAAACTAGTGTGGTTGGTCGAAGGAGTGCATTGTTACCAGAAGAGGAAGTAACAATTGCTCAATACATTGCAACTTTTAGTGATTTTGGCTATGCATTCGAAATAGTAGACCTAAAGCTGTTTGTACAAAGTTTTCTTCAAAAATCTGATAGAGATTGCCGATATTTTAAAGAAAATTTGCCAGGTAATGATTGGGTGAGATCATTTTTAAAACAACATACAAAATTGCTATCTTATCGAGCATGTCAAAATATTTGTAGAAAACGTGCTGCAGTTTCTTGTGATTCTGTGAATAGATTTTTTTAGTAATTTAGAAGAAACTATAAAAAATATTTTGCCTCAAAATATAATAAACTATGATGAAACAAATCTTTCTGATTACCCAAAATCAAAACAAATGATATTCTGAAAGGGTACTAAACATGCTGAACGAGTTATGAATACATTAAAGTCATCAGTGTCTATTATGTTTGCATGTTCTGCAGATGGTGTTTTTTTCGTCCATATACAGTGTATAAAGCTGAGCGTCTAATGGACGCATGGATACTTGGAGGTCCAATGGGTGCACGATATAACCAAACAAAGTCTGGTTGGTTTGATAGTCACTGTTTTATAGATTGAATGCAAACATTAGTAATACCTTACTTCAGACATGTTGACATTGACGCACCAAAAATTCTCATTGGTGATAATTTAGCATGCCACTTGTCTATTGAGGTTATAGAAATTTGTGAGGCTAATAATATTATGATGGTCTTTTTACCTCCAAACAGCACACATTTGCTACAACCTCTAGATCTTGCAATTTATGGACCCATGAAATCAACATGGAGAAAAGTGCTAACTGCATGGAAAATTGGGGAAGGGAGGTTTCATACATCCCTACCAAAAAATGTTTTCCCGCGATTGCTCCTTAATCTAATATCTAAAATGGACCACATACAAGAGTTTGCTGTAGATACGTTTAAAGCATCTGGTATCTACCCGCTAAACAGAAAAAAAATTATTGATAGAATTTTAAGAGCAGACATTTCTACATCCTCTCAAAACATAGTATCCCCGTTAGTTCTTGAACGTCTTAAAGAACTTAGAGAAGAATCTGCTAAAAAGCCTGGGGCAGTGTTGCGTGGGAAAAAATTCAAGGTTTCACCGGGAAAAAGTGTTTCACTGGATGATGTTGCAGTTTCTTCTGTTTTAAAATCCCAATTAAAACGCAAGCTAATCAAAATAAAAAATATCCTTTTGAATGACTCCTTAGATAAAATAACTTCTTCAGTAGATTTGGATAGTTTTAAAGATATTATCGATTATGATATGCCTTCCAGCTCCAAGATGTATATAGAGCTACAAGAAGATTCTGCAAAAAATCTGAGGGCATACAGAAAGTCAAAAGTAAAACGTTAAAAAAAAAAGATTTATTTGCTAAAAAAAGTAATTTATATAATGGTGTTTCTGGCCTTTATGGTTCCATTTTCCATCAAAAGCAAACACATATCCAAAAAAAGCTTGAAGACTGCTTAAATGAAGACTGCTTAAAAAAGAGCTTTGAATCAGATCCTAATTCTAATTAAAAAGTACATGATTCTGGTATGGTTGTAACCTCTAAATATCCATTAGTAGAGGGTTCTTATGTTATTGTAAGGTTTGAAGGAAAAAAGATACCATATCATTTTGTAGGCCAAGTTGTAAATTCAGAGGAAGATAATAATTGGAACATTAAATACTTTAGACGAGATTTTAATGCTTCAAACCCAAAAATCATATCCTTCAAAGAACCGCAGGTTCCTGATTACATAATAATAAAAAGCAAACCTATTGTTAAACAGCTTCCTTGTTCCCAATATGAAAAAAACAACATATCTTTTTCAAAAGAAATCATTGGTGACTTATATATGCGTTGATATATCTGTATCATATATTTATGTTTTTTTTTTTATTTTGTTATAAAGTTTGAACAAAATATATTAGACTATTTTTTCATTTGTTTATTTTATGTTTGAGAAAGTTGACTTAAACCAACTTTAAACTTATGTAAGTTTATACTAGTGTTCACATTTATCACCCATGTATATAATATGAGTCAGGGTGATAGGAAGTCCGGTTAGTTTGTCTGGATTATTTATTTTTTTAATACACAAGAAACCTTTTTTTTAATAAATTATGAAAATTGAAATAAAAAAAATTGTTCCATTTGATTATGTTCAACATACAAACAAAAAAAATCTAAGTTTATTTGAATGCTAGGTAAAGAATATTAGATTAGTTAAAGAAAATTCGTCTGCTGCATTGTTTGTCTTTGGATTTAATTTTTTGCAGGAGGCCGGGATGACCCAAAAATGGGACTGATTGTCAGATAAGGATCTTTTTCGCGCACACACACATACAAAGTATGATGGTTTTGATAAAATACTGTCAATAATTTTTATAACATGAAATTAAATCAATATTCAATATAAAATATAGATTTATTATTGCATCTATCTCCGCGTTAAAAAGCTATATCCGCGTAGAACTCTCCCAAATTTGTATATATGTATATATGTATATATATATATATATATATATATATATATATATATATATATATATATATATATATATATATATATATATATATATATATATATATATATATATATATATATATATATATATATATAATAATACTTGCTAAATTCATAATTTGTATATATGTATATATATACATATATATATACATATATATTTTTAAGGGAATCATATTTACGCTTGTAATGTTTGGTGTGAATTTAGCAAATATTAATATATATATATATATATATATATATATATATATATATATATATATATATGTATATATGTATATATATATATATATATATATATATATATATATATATATATATATATATATATATATATATATATATATATATATATATATAAATATATATATTAATATTTGCTAAATTCACACCAAACATTACAAGCGTAAATATGATTCCCTTAAAAATACTGCACATGTTTTAAAATCGTCAAATAAGGTAACAATTTCAACCGCTTGTTTAGTTACGTCACCTAATACCAAATTTAAGACATGGGCATAACATCATGCCTTATTCTAACCCTGGAAACTGTATTTAACCAGGTATTGAATTCATTGCATTGATCTTGCATTCTGGAGGCCCCAGTAGTAAAATTGCCAATACATTTACTTATATCAATGCCTACATTTTCAAAAACGCCACAAACCAAACCTCCCATTCCTTTTCTAGTTGTTGTTATGCAATTGAGTATCGATATTACACGTTCATGTACTGCTTCTGTTGCATATCGCAATAGAGCATTGATCCTGTACATTAAAATCTTGTGTGGTATCAATGTAAACTCTTATCCATATTCTATTCCACCATTATGCTGGTTAAAGATCATATTATTACGTCGATTAATTTATTAAAAGTCTTTTTTAACAAAAATGTGACCTAGTCACAAAATAGGTTTTAAAAATATTCGTTAACTTCTTATTTTTCTGGGCAACGTTCTATATACGTATTTTCATTTTTAATTTTTCCTTTCTCAGCACCTCTTTTTTGTTTATTTATTATTCTGCGGGGTAGAATATGCATGTCGGAAATAAACTAAAATAATTTAAAAATTAAATTCAAATTGGTTTGCAGACATAAAAATTATTATATTACTCTAAAAGTAGAAAAAAATAACTCATTTTATTATATTTAAAGCTAACTAAAAATAAGGTTATTTAAGCTAAATCATGAGGTATTGTTAAACGTTAATTATTTACCGAATAATAATGAATAGTGTTTGAATTTCGAATACTAAACATATGCAAAACTATTAAACACAGAACAACAAACGTAAATAGTAACATGATTTATATTACCAAAATATTATTAATAATACCAACCTGTGACTTTTCTGTCAGTAAATAATGCACAAACAACAATAAATTAAAAAGCTACATAATTATAAAATAGATAGTTTAACATTTATTAACGAATATGGTTTATTTGCGAGCAGCCGTGGCGCAGTGGCAGCCCATTTACTTCAGAAATGTAAGACCCGTAGTTCAAACCCACTTTTGGGCAATTTCTGCGACATCGGTTGGGAAGGAGGCGTGAACTTCCTATTTAATGATCTTCCGCGGTGCTCGATGATAAGATCGCATGACTACAAAACATGAACGTAACGACTTTTTGTGGCACCTAAAAAAAAAAGACATTAATATACTACTATTTTTGATCCGATCAAGATGGTAAAATTTATAAAATAAGCACGAAATATAATAACTTTTTTTCCAGCCTATTTTAGGCTATAGTCTAATGTAGGTCAGACAGTTACTACATTTTTAGTTACATTTTAATTCTTAGGGCACCTAAAAAAAAGAAGAAAAAAATTACATTAATATACTACTACTTTTGATCTGATCAAGATGGCCGCTAAAATTTATATAATGAGCACAAAATATATGGTCGGTAAAATTTATATAATGAGCACGAAATATAATAACTTTTTTTCCAGCCTATATTAGGCTATAGTCTAATGTAGGTCACACGATGGTTTAAGCTTGTTATTTTATTGTGAGCATGCGCATAAGTTACATTTAAAAAGTTTTACAAAAAAAACGGCGATATGATTTTTCGGCAAATAATGAAAATTTGTTTTTTTATTCCTTATTAAAGAGGTACTAATTTTTTGTCAATAAACAAGCACTCTACGTTTTTGGAATTTTATATCTTGAAGTGTTTTATCTAAATCATAAAAATAAACGAAAATGTTTGTAAACAAAGAAAATATCTCTGTTCAAAGTAAGAGGTTTTGAAAATTTTAAAATTAAACATCTGTTAAACAACTTTTAGAATATCTTTTTTTTGAAAATTTTTTGGGCAAAATATTTAATTGATTCAAATTCTGTAAAAAACGCTCGAAAAATCTGTATGTTTGGTTTTAACCGACCATTTTTTTAACTAAAATAAAATGATTTAACGGCAAACTATGTAAAAAAATTCCATAAATTTGTCGCTTACTGGAAAAATTTCTTATCACTAAAAAAACCTTAAGTTGCACGAGGTTTGATGTTATATTATGCAATTCTACTTACTAATTATGCATGTTGTGAGATACATATTTTTATTTTTTATAAGATAGCACTTGTAACAATTTACAGCGAAAATGTATAAGAGATTTCCGACTTTTAGAATTGCGCTTTTAATTACTGACACTGATATTTGTATATTTTATTGAGAAACAACTTTTACAAGATTTATGATATTTAAAATATTGATAAGCAAATTTGCTTTTAATAATGTAAAGGGTAAAATCTTGTTACACAAAACTAAATGTTGTAATGCCTAGAAAATATTTATTTAAAAAAACCAAAACTATATCCAACATTTTTTATTGTAACTTATAATTAAAAAACTTAAAAAAATCTGTCCCTCCGATAACCTTTAAACAGAAATATAAGTAGTTTCTATTGGTGATACATTTCTTATGCAAAATGCAACCTTATAAACTATTGGATTATAGATCCAAGAAATTTTCAACAGTAGTTTTTTCAATATATACTCTAATTACTTAATTTGAGTTTTCGGTAATGGTGCAATTGAGAGCCATTAATATTATTTTTAAAGAATGATAGATTTCTGAAGTATATACTGCTTAGTGAACCTTTTTATTAAAAGATTGGATTTTTAATACATTTTTGTATACAATAGTTTTTAAGATCTATGCAATTTTTTTTCTTTTTTTTATTTCTGGTTTTATAGCTTTAGCTTTCGGATGGTTTCTCAGAAAATGTTCTTTTACCGTGCTTTTTAAACGACTACAGCCTTTTATGTGCCAAAATAAACGATTAAGGTTGTTAAATTCAGCATGCAAACTTTCGCCGCCTTGTTCCCTATAAACTCCAATACCTAGTCTCCATTTCTCAATAAATTGAATGACATGGGTTTCAAGCAAATGCATCTTCGAAGTTACAGATGCACTCGGCCAAGTCAACCGATAGTACTCCATAAGCGTATTGCAAATTCTGAAAATTAATAATTTGAGTGTAAAAATATTTAAACTAATTAAATATCTACCTAAAAGCAAGCAACGAGAATACTAAGCTCGTTTGCAATATTTGCTTTTCAATTAGCTCAACAATGTGTTAAACTCAACCATCAGATAGCTTATAAAGAAAACTTACCTAGTTCCCGAATATCATTATCTTGAAACGATTGCGAGCTGTTCATGGAATTGTGACATTTTGAATAATAAAGAAATAACTTCTTAAATTTCTGGCTCACATTAATTGATAACAAATGAACATCAGTGCCACTAAAACCAAGAGTTGAAATTAGTTTTGGAACAGAATTGCACAAATCTAGCAATGGTTGAAGCTAAAAAAAATGTATTTGTAAAATTAAATAATTTTTCAATATTTTTACTGTTCTGTTGCATTAGTTTAACATTAGTTTAAATTATTTAAACTGATTTATTAAATACTGAATTCAGAAGTTCTTTTTTTTGTCGACAAATTCTAGTTTTTTGCAAAATGAAGGGGTGGGGTGGGGTTTGGTACTCCAATTAAATTAAAATCTTAAAATGAGGGGAGGATATAGTAAATTGACTTAATTTGCTAATATCTGGTTGTTTAAAGCAAAAAAATGGGAAAGATAAAAGGCATCCTTATGTCAATAATTAGAAAGCCACATCAGGATTTTTCTCGGTAACCAGTTTCCCAGTCCACCCATGGCAGTTTGTTTTTTAAATGCTGTTTTTCAGAATGAATGTTCTAAATATATGTAGATCCTTTTTTTTTTAAATATAATATATATACTATAAAACAAAAACCTTAAGCATTGTGTGAACATGGTTTCCAACAAAGCATTTTCCATGATAAGCTTGTCTTTCTACTTTATTAGCCTTCAACACCTCATCAAGTTGTTGAATGCAAGGACCTGAAGTTTTATCAAGAACGTTTGCTTCATTTAAAGAAATTAATTCTTTTATCTAGGAAAAATAAGTTTTTAAAATTTAAGCATATATCTAATTGTAATTTTTTTAAATATTTTAATTTACCAAAAATTTCATTTCAAATTTAATTTAACATTATACATAATTCAAAACTACATTTTTGCAGTTACATAACAATCAGTACCTTATCGTTTTTTATTAAATCATAGTGTATTATTCTTGGTGTATATAAGTTCCTTATTTCTTCCGTTTTATCTGGCTCACATAAAACTTTTACAGATATTGTATCTTGTAGAAGTGCTATTTTATTGTCACAGTCTTCAATAACACTTTTTACAAGATTGGATTGGATATGCATGTTAACATATTTGTCAAAATCAACTTTACCAATCATATTATCTTTTAAAGCAAGTTCTCCTGCAAGTTTTATATCTATTAAGTGGCATTCGTCTTCAAACATCTTAAAAAACTTTAAATAGGTACCCAAAGATATATGTAAAGCAGGTACAGCAACCTAAAAAAAAATGTTAGGATTATTAGACTAACAATTTCTAATGTTTATTAGACTACTAATATCAACCACAATATTGAACCACCACCAGTATTGAAAAGATTAAAAAATAAAAGTGCTAAATTACATTACCTGGTCTAGAGGAATGTTAAATAGCGTTTCATTAATCACATTGTTAAAAAATTTAGCATTTTTCAAATTTCCTCCATTACTTTGAAAACGATGAAAGTCATTGTTTAAGGAGTTTAGAGATTTTTGTGAAACATGTTCTCTGCATATTGGAGCCAGTTGGATATATTTTTTTTGGTGATGTCACAAAAAAGACAGCTATGTCGACCTATGCATAACAAAAAAGCTATGAATTTAGTAAGGTGTTAATTAACTAAGTTTTCAAAGGTTTCAAGTTTTCTTGTCAAAGCCTTATACTTACTTTTAAAGTCTTTTGAGTCTAATAAAAGTAGATCAAACTTACCACTAGCTCCTGTAATTCCATAAACGCTGCAAAGGAAATTATAATCACCAAACATAAAGACACGAACATTGCGATTTCTAATTGAATTGTAAGTATAAAAAAATAATTAAAAAAATAAATAAAAAGATTACAGTTTTACATAAATTACTATTACTCTTAACTTTAGACATTGTAACTTACTGCCATTTCATGTTTTGTATCTCATCAACTTGCAGTGTATAACGAGATAGCCCTACTATAAAATTAGTTCGATAGTCATTGGCTTCAAATGTGCTAAACACAATAGAGTTAGATTTCGAGTTGGGTTGATCTTGGTTAACTCATTTTAAATGAACCACCCCCATGGTCTCTCCCAATTTTAATGTGAATCTCATCATTCTTTATTCCATTATGTTTTATTAACTTGAAACTTAAAATAAAAAACATTAACATAAAAATAATAATTTCAACAGTTTAAACATCTTTGTACATTTAACTTAAAAGTTGTGCAAATGTATTAAACTTTATACCTTTCAAGAATATTTAGTATATTTTCAATATTTTTAGGTAGATTATCTATATATGTCCAAGGAGCATGTTTGATTTCAAGACTACACTTGATATTTTCATTTTGAAATGTAAAATTTTCATCCAACACAATAAGATCATCTCTTGCCCAGGTCTTTGCAACAACTTTTTGTTTACTGTTAGAAGCAGTCTGGACATTTCTTGAATTTAACCATCTATAATATTTAGTAATTAACCTTTTTCTACATAATAATATTCTCCACATAGTAATATTTTACATTATCAGTGATGGACCTGGTTTATTTGGGGATACATTTTTTACAAGATAAATTATAAAGCTAACCCCTATTTTTAGGACTAAATAAACTAAGGCTAAATTAAACAGGTCATTCCTGATTATATAAACATCAATAAAACATCGTTAAATATTTCACTTAAACACATCTTAACATAACATTTACTTGTAAACATTACTCTTTTAATATTTGAAATTCCTTTAATTACTTGAAAAAATGTTTTACCTAGTCATTGTTTTTAATTTATTCCATGGTATCCCTACATCAGCTTTAAAAGCAACCAATTCCTCGGCAGAAATTTGAACAATTCCAATGTTAGCATTTTGCAAAATTTTTCTTTTTTGACAGTCATCAAACGATTTTAGCATAACTGCAGCTTGCATTACTTGTGAATCTTTAGAATTTCCAACCTGATGATTAACTTCCTCCATTAGGAGTCTGTGTCTTTTTTTAAGTGTACTTATACTGCATGATGCACTTTCCTTGTAAGCTTTAGGTATTACAGTTAAGCAAAGAGGCTTTAAATAAAAAAAGTAAATCAATAATAATTATCAATAAAAAAATCACAACCTCTGTTAATACGTTTTTTTTAAACTTTAGACTAATTTCTTTTTTCTTTAAAATTCTATATAAAAAAATTAAAAATAATTGAATTTCTTACTCTTGGCCCACCAGATGAAAACTCTATTGTTGTTGTTTTTGAATGCTCAAGTTTTTGCTTAATCACATGCACAACTGCAGCTTCAATATTTCGAGGGACATCACTTGATTCATTGACTTTATAGAAATCATCAATGATTGCGCTGTGGTCGCTTTTTAAATGATCTTTTTGGCAATCATGAACCTCATATGTGTCCTTAAAAAGAACTTTTTTTTACAAAGTTTGCATGCAATATATGAATGTTTTATTATTTCCAATACATGTACAGAACTGCAAAGGCTATTAACCATGATAAAACTTGAACATATAGAACATTTTGCTTCCTTTTCTAGTTTACCTTTAATAAGCAATGTAATGCATAGGCTACAAAAAGAATGCTGACAATCTTTTATTATTACTGGTTGATGCATTATTTTTTCACAAATTTTGCAAATGCGTAATGTTAAATGTGGATTTAGTTGAAAATTTAATTCAGATAATTGATCTTGTTTCAATGGTAAAGGCAAAGATTCGAGAAACAGATTAAGGGTAATTTGTGTCCATCTTTTAAAAGTTCCTGGCCTTCCAACATTTGGTTTTGGTTTTCGACCAGCTTTACCAAATACACAATCACACACATTTGTTTGACACTTTAACCATGCTTTTGGTATAAGCTTCAAAAGTTTACTACCACGGTTTTCTATATTCACCATTGTTGCATTGCATTTTAAACACATTTGTGTTGGGTGAACATCTAAACAATCTTCAGCAATATTTATTTTAAAAATATTAAAAATTCTTTCACGTCTACTACTGGTTTTTATAGAGTCTTTTCCGGTCAAATTTCCGCAAATTCTGCAGACTCTCAATAATTTTTGCTGATGTTTTTCAGCCACTATCCAAAAAATATTTTTATAAAAACCTCTTGACTAAAAAATGAAAATATATTTCATAAAAAAATGATTGGTAAAAGAAAATAATATTTTTTGAGAGACGAAAAACAGTATTTTTATTAAAAACTAACCTAAGTATCATAAAAATTTTACTTCGTCCATAATTGGCATCTGTATTTAGTGTTATTTTAGGCAATATTCAAGTATAATGTTAAATAATTAAAGTCAATTTTTAAACATACTTTTCACTTTGATTTTATGCATAAACTAATTCATCCATGTGAAATTCCATTTTAGAAGTCTAAATATTAGCAACCATTTCAATGTTATCTTTTAAAACAGAAAATAAGGTTGGAAGCTATTTAACAACTTGAACACGGTAAACATAAAATTTGAAAACTGAGTAGTTGTATCAGACGCATGCGCATAATAAAATCCCAAGCTTTCCTAAGTATTAAATCACCGTGGTCAGACAGTTACTATATTTTTAGTTACATTTTAATTTTCCGTTGATTATAATAACCAACTGAAATCAAAATGTAGCCTACTAAAAATATTATAACTTTTTTTCCTGGCTTGGACTGGACCGATTGGATACCGCGAGATTCCACCGGGAATCTCGTGGTATCCAATCGGTCCAGTCCAAGCCAGGTTATACAAGGGAAATTGCATACATAGAATTTTTTTTTAAATAGTAAAATATATTAACCGCAATGCTTTACATAAAAATTTCTTTTTATGTAATTGGATAAATGAGGCAGTTATACAAAAAAATTTGTATAAAAGTATTTACACGTGACGCAAAGGCATTTTATTGTTTTCCGATTGTTATTTTTGTCAATTGACAGCGAAAATATCAATGCTTTTAAACAATTAGTTAAACGTCCATCTTTTAATAGTTCCTGCAGATACTTGATATCTTTCCTTTTATTCAAAGTAAAGACGTACACCTTAAACAAGTTGGAGTGTTGAAAAAGGTTTTAATAATATTTTTTTTCTACTTTTTCACTTGTAATGAAGAAAAAATCTCTCATCTCTTTCGGTTCAATATAGGTATATTTTAGATTTTAAATATTTGAGTTTCATTTTGTAGAATAATTGAATTTCGTTTTCAAATTTAATGCATATATTATTTTTAGTTTGTCAGCCTGTTTGTCTTTTATTGTTCATGTAAATAAAAACTACTTTGATGAGCGCAATGAGATTCCACTTATTCCGCTTAGCAAAATATCATGGTAAAGCGGAATGAGTTTCCGCTTTAATAAAAATATCAATAAAGGTTCATATAAATAAATACTTTAAAGAATAAAAAATATCTCGTTTAATCAACTCGTAAAGCGATTAGCATATTCAACATAAAATCAAATAAAATTTCTTGAAATATTCTACATAATCTTCAGTTTTATTTATTATTTTCGTAAACAAAATATCTTCAAAATACAGAAATGTTCCATTTAATTTTATTTTTATTGATAAGCGGTTCGAGCATTTTTAAAGGAAGATTAATGCATGTCTTATTTTATAAAAGAGAGTAAAGCTAGTAGTCTTTTTTTTTAATTGAGAAACACATTTGGAAACACATGCGTATCCAGAGCATTTAATTATTTCAGTAATACAAAAATTTCTAAAATTCCACTGCAATTTAAAAATCACTATACCCTCGCAGTTGAAAGGTCACAAGGTTATGCGAAATGATTATAAATGGTTAGTTGAGTTAATAATGATTAGTTGAGTTAATAAAGCCGAGAATTTGTACGGAAAAGTGAATTAAAGAGTTTAACAAAAGAATCGTCAGCTTATGAATAATTTGAAAGACTTGATTTTAACGCCGCTGAAAGGTTATAAACAAACTTGCAATCCTTTGAATCAACCTTTGTCCATACAAGTTCTTTGAAAGATGACCCAATTGAATGGCCATAAGTTCAATACCATGAACTTATGGCCTTTCAATTTATTATTATTAAATAAAAAGTCCTAGAATAATTTCTCATTTTGAGGCTATAGATAATTACAAAGCATTGGATGCTAATAAATATTTTGTCTCTGGCTAGATGCAGAAAGTTTTTCACACGGCATTGAGCTATGGTTTTGTTGTTTTAAAAACACAAGTTTTTAAAACAACAAGGGTGTTTCCAAAAAAGGTCATATCTCCATAAAAAAGAACCCTAGTTTATTATCTGTCCAAACCATGACTAATTACCCAAAAAAAAAATTCTTTAATTTTTGATAATCCTTTAGGGTCCCTTCAGGCGCGTAAAAGGGGCAACTTTTACGGCGTTTGGAACTATTTTTAAAACTGTTTGTAGGTAGTTTTGACATTTTAATTTTTTTTTATTAACTTATGTTTGCCAAGACTTAATCTAAATAAAATAGGCTATACTCTCAAAAAAAAAAAAAAAAAAAAATCAAGAAAGTTTCAAAATCCTAAAATCCATACATATTTAAAAAAGGTCATACAACTCAAAAAATTCTTAAAATTTTCATGAAACTCATAAAA